AGTCTGGCCGGGTCACGGCCGAGTCTCGGCCAAGCGTAATTCCTGAACCCTAAGCCCTTCCCTAAACCCTAAACCCTAAACCCCTAAACCTTAGGACCCAACAAAAAAAAAGACATTTTTGACACAAAAAAAAAAGACATTTTGGATACGCGACCCCTTCCAATGCCACTTCCACTGCAAGCAATGATTCGATAAGTGATTCTTGAGCACGGCATTCGTAACGGTGTTGGTTTCTACATGACCGCGAAAGTGAATCACTCAAGCGCGTCATGGTCCAGTGCGACAAACCGATCCCGCTTGAGTGGGTGCCGCGGTCATAGCTGAACGCATCGATGTCATGCGTTGGTACGTCACCTGTGCCCTTCGACATCGATGCAGCAAAGTGAACATATAAGTCAACTGTTTTGGCACAGGGCTGTCCAATCAGAGGGTAGGGGACTGCAAGACGATGATCCAGTCCCTGAGCGACATCGCAAGACGGCGACCGACTAGCGAGCTCCCTCGAGACAAATGGTCTGACAGCGCTGCAGAACATGCAGAACCATCGTTCAGGGCCAGGATCTGAAGCAGTCGCACACGGTAATGCTGCCAATATCTGTCAGACACAAGCGATGCCTTTCTTATAGATCTCGCACCTGACTGGTAGCTATCCCGCTTATTGTCCAAGAGCCCTATGGTCATAACTCAAATACGTCACCGCAGCAACCATCACACAACACGGGGGCTTTACGGGAACATGTGCATGCATGCTTGTGTGTGTGGGGGTGAGTGCAGTCTCTGAGTCTGTGTCTGTGCACTTGCGGGATGGCAGGCAGCCTGACGCGCATGTACTGTGCTAGTTGCAGTCAGTGTGCATTGGCATGAATAAGCTTGCTTGTGAAGTGTGCCTGCATGGGTCTAAGTGAGTGTGCGTGTTTGTGTGTGTGTGTGTGTCTCTGCACCATCTTCGCACATGAGCCAAGAGATTCTCTGTTACCATGCTGGGTCGATCACAAGCAACCTTGAATCGGTCTGGAAGCACAACACGGCCATGATTTGCGGATGCTTGTCCAACAAGTAAGAGCACATCCATTACTAACAGGACGCCTGCAACTGGTGCCCACACGACGTGGAGTGGCCATTGCTAGAGCAACAACTGGCAAATCAAAGCTCCAGTGCGGAATATGTAGAAGGCCTACACGGCTAAAGTCAGCTCGGTGCTTGGCTGCTTCCACGCTTCTGCAAGTGCTGGTCACAGATTCTGACGGTGTGTATCATGTGAGTGTGAATCCGAGGCGAGCTTGAGCCCAAATCGACTCCTGCCGTCGCAAGACTCAACGAAGGACACGAAGGGAGTTCCAAGCCTCTCCAAGTTAGGAGCGCTTGCACGTCATCAGCACAGTGACTCATGAACAACCGTGGCTTTCACTCCTCCCCCAACTCAAGATTTGTGGCGGGGCCGCTTCGCGGCAAGGAACGTGCGTTTGCAGGACACATTCTGCACATCAAGCAAGAAGGTTCACCACGAACACCCTGAGGTTGACACGCCAGCTGTCGCAAAGCACTTCGTCTGGGCAAACTAGAGCCCCTCCTGCTTGTAAGAAGCTGCCAAGCAGAATTTGCCGTCAGCAGCCATGTGACTAAGGTGTGCAGTCGTTCCAGCAACCAGGACTTGAGCATTTTAAGAAGGGCGATGGAAGAGCGGCGCAACTGCGGAGCTAATGGAGGTCCACTGGACGTGGGACAGATCAATCTGATCGCTCCTGACTCAAAGCTTCAGAAGGGATACAGCTCCTGTCTTCTGACAGCGAGATCGCATCCCAGACTTCCGCTTGACATCAGGGCCAAGAAATTAAATCTCAAGTCTTGACTCGAGGAACCTGTGGAACACATAGAGCATCCCAAGTCGATGTGCAAGACCACTCTTGCAGTCAGCGACTCCAGAACCAAGCAGATTAGCGTGGGCGTGGCTGAACAAAAACAAGATGGGCGCAAGTACTAAAACATACCATCACTGACTATAACCATAACCTTCAACATCACAGGTAAGGAGTCGATCGAAGCCTGGTATGGAAGGTCAGAGAAGAGAGGGAGGTGGCCACAGGCCGTCACTTCTTCCGCACCTTGGAATCAACGACATCGCAAAGTCTCTCAAAACCACATGCACCTCGCACTTGCTCGCATCTGACATGCACAGTCTCACTGCCCGCATCACGAGCTAATGGCGGTCGGCGTGCTTAGCTGTCAGGGTTGCTGCTGAACGAGAACCGAACAAGTAGGCTCGTGCAGGCACTCACTCACAGCTCCTCGAGCATGCTGGGGCACGGGCAAGATGGGACTGCTGCATCAGAATCTCCATGTATTCCGTCACTCGGTCACGTTTCCTGCAAAGCGAAATGCAAAGTAACTATTCTACAGCTTTCTTGATGTACTCGTCAACTGTATGGAAACGACATCCGAGGTCCGACGCACTGTCCTCGTGTAAAGCCCATCCAGGCGGTCAGCTCCTTCAATCGCAGCAAGGCCGTGGCAATCCTTCGTGGCACTGGCGACGTTCCCCAGACCTCCACTTGACGCAACGTCATGCAACTGGCCCATCATGACAGAACACGTGAGCGACATAGATCTACCAGATGGTTGTCAGTAGGCCGAGGCCAACCGTCAACTGCGCGAAACGCAGCGGTTGTCACTAAACCCTGGACTTGCTGGCACACTCCACGAAAGCAGACCGTTCTTACTTGGCCCGTTTCAGGGAGGACTGAGCTCAGCTCTCCTGGGTGTGGCCATCTCCAGCATCTTCAACCTGCAGATTCAGAAAAGCACTCATGCCTATCATTCAACTACCTTCCCTCCCTTTCTCTCCCTCCCTGCCTCCCTCCATCTCTCTTTCTTCCACAAGGGTAAGAGGTGGAACGACCTCCACCCCCGCGGTCCGGGCGCCCCCCATATGTTATGAGCACGTGTCTCAGATAAACAATCGCCGCACATTTGCCCGGAACAGTACATCACAGCTGACAGGGAACAAAATGAACAAACTGCAATTGTTACAGGATTCGTCAGCTGTTCCAATTAGGGGACAATCCATCTCGTGTCATGACAACATGTGCTCACAACCTTACCCTCAAACAGTGTATCAGTAGACTTTTGCCTGTCCCTCGGTTTGTTCGTGCGGTTGTGTGTTTCATCTCTCTAAGACAAAAGAAAAGCATTGAAAGCGACAACGTCTAAGCAGCAACGGTCAAAGGCAAAGGTCCTGGGGAAATGAATCATTTGATTGTGCGAATACTCCTGGGCTTCAACGCAATCAGAGCAACTCCAGGTTGACAACATCAGATACCTTTGAGTGAGTGAAATAGACTCGCTCTCTCTCTTTCTCTCTCTCTCGCTCTCTCTCTCTCTCTCTCTCTCTCCCTGTCTCGCACGCTCTCTCCCTCTCTGGGTCGGCGACTCCACCGGCGGGTGGGACCTCGTCTTCAGCAGAAGCACAGCTGATGCAATGATACACTGCTTTGTCTATGCACACACACACACACACACCCACTCACTAGCTTCGCGGCGTGTCTGGTGCTCTTCCCAAGAGGAAAGCCACATTGTCACGAATGTAGCACTGCCGGAGGCGGACAGCCTGAAAAACGCATCTTGCTGCAGCTTGAACGTCCTAAAGTAGTTGCCTCCAGTACACAAGCGAATCATCCGTGCCTCCGTGTTTGAAAGCTCTTCCTTCGGATCGGGCCTACACATGCTGCTGAATGCGCTGTTCCCGTAAATCAAAAATCAACAAGCAGAAAACCCTGACGTGATCAATCCACCTTAGCCGGGCAACACTGAGCCCCGCCTGGGCGTTGTCGCTGCCTGGCATTGAATTATGAACGACAAGCCCCAAATACCACAACACCCGATACTTGTCTCAAGCAAATGTAAAGAGGTGCCACAACACGGCTGCCATGCCTACACGTCGGAACGGCGTCTCAAAATCCTGAACGGAAGCCCGTTCAAGGAAAGACCAGAACCTTGTCCAGCTCGAGCGGGTGTTCCTCCACAGCTCCTATCAAGCTGTGAACGACATGGGCTCGTGAAGCCCGCAAGCGCATGCAAAACGGACACCAGAGCCTGGCGCAACGTGGCCCGCATCAGATGCTGCTAGGCCTGAGCTTCCCAACGTGGCTTGAAAGCCCCCTGAAACGAGAGACGATAGCATCAGTCGAGAGCGATGCGAGTGGGGCGAAGACGACGAATCTTCTCGTGCGCAGACGATGACATCTTTGTCGTGTCGCAATAAACACCTCTTCCTCACATCCGGACAGCCTTGCTTCAACCCCACTAGAAGCCTCTTTTTCCCAATCTGCACTACGACTGATTGCCACCTCGTGCTGCCATGCAACCAAAGGTTCGACCAACCACATCTCCGGATAATGCCGATGGACGGCTTCCGCCTCCTCTGACTCTCTTACCAGGCAATGTCTTCTTCTGTTCAATGAACCAGGGTTTAGGGTTTAGCCCCCAACCGCCGTGCAATCTGTTCAATCAGGTGTCAAGGCAAACATCCCTTGGCGCATATGCACACGGACGAGAGCGCCTCCTCTTCCAGGCAACAATCTAGGGGTTGTTCCGCGAGGCGTTGCAGCCGCCGCCCTCGACCAGCTTCACTCATCAAATCACATGACAGCGCGAGGTAGGTCTAACTGAACAAGCATAGCAAGGCGCCATGTTTAGCCAAGTTCCACCCTGCAAGATGTGATGACTCACCCAGACCTTGTCAGCCAAGGTGCATTCGGCGGGCGCCAGCAACAGGCTTCGCATGCAATTCGAAAATAGCTGCGGTCGTGTTCAAGCAAATTGGCGAATGTGACAACAAGTATGCCCAACATGAACCTGAGAATTGCACAATCCTACACACAAAACTTCAAACAAGCGTGCAGCGACATCGCGTTGAACAAAAAAAGGTCACCACCAAGACACATCCTTGCTAACGGCTAACGACTCCGCACCGCGACATGTATGTTGCATGCGGCCAGTTTTGGACGGGCTTCCAGGCAATGCCAATCCAGTTTCCAAACGAAGTCCTTTTTGCAACGAGCTCGCCTCGTTGCATTCCCGTCGGCTTAAAACGGATTAAAACGTGCAGCACCAGTGCATTTTGTGAGACTTCCGGTCGTCCTCGATGCATACTGTGCCCATCCCATTCGGGAGGTCGCCAAGGTGAGGATCAACATTGCCTGCATCATTCAGCTTCCCTTTGGCCTTGTTTGCCGTCGTCAGATCAATGCTCCTGATTGCATCTTCGGTTTCCGGGTGTGTATCGCCCAGAGTTTCCCGGCAGTACTGAAGGAACTCGCGAAAGAGTGGCTCAGCCTTGTCAAACCGGGCACTGTGAAAATACATCTTCGCCAAATTCTTGACGAAATTCTGAGTGAGCTTGTGGGCGTTGCCCTGGCTAGCACGGCTGTGTTGCAAGCAATCTAGCAGAAGAAGCTCGGCTTCATCCACATGCTGGTTGACAAACAGCAAGGTGGCCATGTTGTTCATCATTGCCAGGCTGTCTGGGTTCCCGCTGTCTAAGATGGCTCGGCAGTTGGGCAAACAGTCTTTGAGAAGAACGAGAGCCTCGGCCACCTGGCCTTGGCAGTATAGCACCTGGCACAACTCGTTCACAACTCGTAGAGTTTCAATGTGCTTGTCACCCAAACTGGTTTGGGCCTTCTGCAAGCACTCTCGCAGGAGCAGCTGTGCCTCATCTAATCTTCCCATACCTTGAAGAAGCCTGCCCATGTAACAGCGTTTTCGAAGGGTGTCAGCATCTGTGTCACTTCCGGCTATTCTGTAAGCTTGGAGTGCCTCTTGGACCAAAGGCTCTGCCTTCTCAAACTGTCCTCTAGTACAGAGCAAGCCAGCCATCATCTGGACAGCTTCGACGGTGCACGGGTGCAGATTACCCAGATTGGTGCGGCAGAGCTGCAAGCACTCCTGAAGAAGCGGCTCTGCCTCCTCCAAGTTGCCTCTGGCAATCAGCAGCTCGGCCAAGCAGTTGGCATTTATGAGTGTGCTCTGGTTCCCTTCCCCTAGCGCTGCCCTGCTGCTTTGAAATGCTTCGCGATAAAGCTCCTCTGCATCATGAGGGCTGCCCCGGTTCTTCATCACTCTGGCCAAGCTTGCAAGGAAGGTCAAGGTCTGCGGATGCCCGTCGCCCAGCTTGTCTCGGCTTGTCTGAAGGCACTGGCGGAACATAGCCTCTGCCTCGTTTGCACGCCCGAAACTTAACAACAGTCTTGCCAAGTTGTGCTTGCTGGCAAGAGTGCGTGGGTGCATATCACCCAACTCTGTCTGATATTCTTGCAGACTCTCTCGCGCGAGCGGCTCAGCTGCATCCGGCTGGCCTTTGGCCTCCAATACCATTGCCAGGTTGTTGAGGTCCCGTCCAGAAGCAAGCTGTCGCGACGATCGGCTCGCGACTCTTGCAAGCACTCTCGAAAGAGCATTTCTGCTTCATCGAGACGCTGGGTGGAAAAAAGCAGGGATGCCAGCAGATTGCGGCTCGTCGACAGGTCTAGTTGAAGCTCTCGGGCAGTTTGCATGGCCTCTCTGCACAGGACCTCGGCCTCCTCCAATTTGTTTCTGGCAAACAGGAGTGTAATCAAATTGTCGATGCTCCGTACAGTGGCCTTGTTTTTGTTGCCCAGCTTCAAGCGCCGAACTGCCAGGTGCTCCCTATACAGCATCTCCGCCTCATCAAATCGACCACGGCTTTTCAGCCTTGACGCCAGCTCTTGCATGCACTTGAGTGCGTCTTCACTGTCGTCACCATGTCTTTGCTTCAATTTGCTAAGGCGAAGCTGAAGCAAGTTCAACAACATCTCCGATCTAGCTTCTGCATTCTTCACCCCCTTGTCCCCCTCGATTCGCACTACCCAAACATCACGGTTGCGGTGGACTTCGCGACATTTGTAGTCTGATCCCAGGGGGACATTCCTGGCTTGAAGGTCGGGCGTCTGGCGCTCGAAGATGCTGTAAGCCATGGATTTGGGCACGATCAAGGGCACGCAGAACTCTGCCCGGTGTCCCGCAGGATTGTCATCACCCCACTCACGAAGTACCCTCTGGGACTCCCTGTCGCACATGAGTGCCCGCAGTGGGTTCTCGTTGCTGTAGCTATTCAACAATATCCGTACACTTGAGCCCCAAACGGACGGCTCATGCTGAGTGGCATACACGCCCTGGCCAAAGTGGGCTCGACTTTCTACAAAAGAAGCGAAAAGCTCTGCAACACTCTGCTCCTCATTGGCCACGTTTTGAAAGCACAGATAGTTGCTGTAGTGATACAGAATGATGACATCCTCAGACACAGCAGGATCTCTGAGGTCGAGTGCATGTTGCCAGACAAACACCGGCCCATCTGGTGCCCAGTAGCGGAATGTTCGCACCTGGTCCACAGATTTGGACTTGTACTTGCTGCCTTGAAAGAGCTCACCCTCCATGTACATGCTTGCAAAATACTTGGACAACTCGCCCGTCGCAGGGTCCAGCCGAGCCGGCATGAAGGAAATGCATCCGCCCATCGCCACCAGCCCCAGAGGCCAAAACACCAGCATTTCTAGACTCTGTAGCCAAGATGGAGCGGAGGGTAGAAAGAAGCCCTAGCGGGAAACAAGCAAAAGAACATTCACAGCTCCGGTATGGACTCTTGGCTGCCTTTACCCCCACATGCATTGGCATGTCCGCATATTGACTTGACTCTTTGCCCACACTTTGCAACACCTAGTCCCATCCTGAAAATCGATATTTTGCAGCAGATGCAACATGACAAATAAAACTTGCTTTGTCACCCGCAAAGCTCGGGGGATTCTCACAGTTTGCGTCGCGCTGCGAACAGAAATCATGGAAGTGAAGCTGATTTCGCGCGCACCCAGACTACGCTCGGGAAGAAGGAGACTATACACATGTTCGTATGTCAATGTAGCGATTGTGTGCAAAGCAAGACAACTCACTGCATTGCTGCTGGAAATACAGCTACGATCACGCCAAACTTGAGCTCCAAGCCTCCATGTGTTCCAGACGGACCCTAGCGGTCACAGAACCCACGCGTTCCCCAACCGGCGTCCCTGCAAGTTTGGATCTGCATTGCTCTGTACTGAGGTATGTCTCGTTCCCCACATGAAGTTTTGCTGGAGATCCTGATTGCACGAGGATCTGTGGCTTGCGCATTCATTGATAGTTTTTGACCCAGTGCTTCGGATTTGGTGCCAAAACAAGCTGCGACCTTAGGATTTGGGGGATTCTTTTTGGTCGCGACTGAAATGCATGCAGATGCTTTGTGCAGGCGATCGTGTCTCCAACACCATCACGTTCGTTCTTACCATTTTGGCTTTTAAATATGTGATTAACGACCAGAGCCAACTTTGAGCTTTGGCACCATTGGCATATTTCGAAGCCATCGGAGTGAAACCTGCTGATTTCGCGGCTCAGCACGCAAGTATGGTTTGGAACCCGAAAGAAATGACCATGCTTGGACACATCTCCAACAGGTGAAGCAAGAGTTTGCGCCGACAGTCACCTCGGCTTCTCTATCAAAGAAACGCAGAATGAAAGAGCGAGCCTCGCCGAGCAACCTGTCCACACCACTGCCAGGATGGAGGGAGTGGTAACGGTAGCCACATCCGGTGCACCTTACAATCTTGGAATTCGGCTCATTTCCGGCGGGAATAGAAATCCTAAGAAACCAGAAGACCCATGAGACGAGATGCCAACACGAGCCAGCCTCCACAGCATCATCCTGAAGATGTCGTACTTTTTCCCAAGGTTGGTGGAAGCAGACACTGTCTTACGTGTGGAACTCCAAATGCCAAAACAAACCAAGAGCAAAAATCTTATCCAGAGTTTCGGTAGACTCCCAGTTTGCGTCTCGGAATCAGCCGCTCCATGACAGATGCAGCATCAAAATCTCCACTGCCGGCAGGATCAGAAAAAAACACAAGATGCGAGCAAGTAGATGTCCAAATGAGTCTGGTGGTGTTGGACGGAAGCTAGACTGTTGAATCGTGCTCTCTGGCCATCACGCATTGAACACCTGCCTGAACAGTACAAACAACGAGTGGGGCTGGGCGAAACCAGACTCACGGCCCGGAATCTGCTAATCACCTTCTCAATATTGATCACCCCTGCACGTCGAACATTGCCTTCAACACAAAAAGACTCTTGCAAATTAGGGGACCATGCTTGATACGATGGGTAGGGGAGTGTCCAGCATATGGTTTTGGAAAAGAGCTGCCCATTGCGACTCGTTCGGGTGTTGTGGTCTTTGCATCCCTTGATCTGGAAATCGGCGGGCTCAGTACAGGTCCTTCCAAGTTTAAGCCCAGGTCTGGTTCCCATGTGTTGTGTGGTTGTTAGATTTGCTCGAACGTAAAGGCGTGCGAGACATCAAGGTTATCCATCAAATGCGTTGGATACCAACATCCCTTCAACAGGAGGGCTTGACAGCAATCTTAAGCCTTGACCGGCCCGAGAAGACAACTGGAAGATTTCAGAGATGGCCAGCCGATTACAGACCAGGGCCGTCGTAGTCCCAGGTTGACCATTTGTCGGCATTGCCCTTGTAGCTGGACGTGCTCATGGCAGGAGTTGATTCAGAAATAGTGCTTACAAAAATTTCACCACAACTCCTATTTACGTCAGAAAGAGCCGTAAAGATTTGATCTGCCCTTGATTGCTGTTGGACAGAACCGAAAACTCACGGCCTGCGCAGGACCATCTGGAGGAGTAAAACTCGGACGAAAGCAGACCTAGATGGAAGCTTCTTGCCAAAAGCAAAACCAATGTTGCCAGCCAGAGCTTTCCACCTTGACAGTGAAATTGCTGAAAAATAGAACTAGCAGGTGTGACAGTGTGATGCAGAGACCAACTTTGTCCACTCTCTCATTTTCCCTGGTTCCAGTTGAAAGTGTGCGACACTTGACGGTGCAGTCCTTCAACATGCTCAGTCCAGTTGCTGCATCGTCGTGTACACTCGTCTGTCTTCGGTCACCAGATTGTTGGACTCAGCCAGCATTAAAACGCAGGTGTCCGAGCACCTGCAGGATTTTTTACCACATTATAGATTCTGTCAGTGTATTCGATTGTTCTCATTTCCATGTGCTGGTTGCTACCGTTGAAACAACAAGTTTGCTGTAATTGGATTCGTGGATTTAAAAATGGGTGAACACATGCATGAAACGGTTACAACCGATTCCACTGGATAAGTCAGGTGACCTGCCCGATGCTTCATGCGCATTGACTGGCATGATGTTGCCAACACTTGATATTTCTGCAAACCGCCAAAATTTGCGTATCAAGACCTGGAAGAAACATTTCATGCCAGTTGAAAGAACCCTCTCTCGGGAGGGTTCCAGTTCTCCACTCTGTAGTGCTACGAGGGTTGTTTCAAGACATAGGTCAGAATTCGTTACTTCGAGGCCTGTCGATTTTGAGGACTACGGGCCGTACGCCTCGATCTGAGGGCTCTAAAGTGCTTGCAAACCGCGCGCGGCTTCGCAAGCAG